GCACTAAGGATGCTTCTTCGACCGGTGGACGTTCAAGGGTTCGGTAAGACTCCGTGGTGCCACCCAAGCCACGACACAGGAATGTTTGGTGGTCGAACATGTTTACATACGATTGTATAATTAGACTAGACCCCCAAATAGATAGAAACAATTAATTAGAAACATAGATCCCCACCAAACATGTGTTGGACACCGTTTCTATCTATTTGGAGACCACTAAAGGTTGTACACTGCAAGTAGCGGTCTCCAATCTATCCGCTCTTTCACGTTTACTTCACGTTTACCTCCGACATGGCATGCACATGAATGAAGCGAACGAAGCTAGAAATCTTCTGTGGATGGATGGTCCTGGGGCAGCCTCACACGCCATCTCAGCAAGTACAACTATATACTTGTGCTGTTTACATACCTGGACCTTCCACGGGTGTATATGATATATGGGTGTATTTTTTCCTGCCGTTTGGCAAAGGAGCACAAGTTTCTGTCGGTTGCCGTCAAAAACATTCAAAATCGCCGTTTCATGTCATTAATAGTAGGTTTCACTGGTTTGGCAGAGGTTGCCAAATTAGCGGTGGGCAAAAGTCGCCGTTTCAGCATCTTGACATAGCATTGAACGGTATACGGTTACGGTTATACGGTATACGCTTAATTATAGGGTATACGGTATACACGGTCATTGATCCATTGATGCATAAAGAGTCCCAGAAGCCCACACAGCACATGATGGGACACAGGCAGGCCAATAAAGAGGGCCACCCACCCACCTGCTGGTTTCTGGAGAGGGCGGCGCTGTGAGCGCGTGTATTGTTCAGTAAACAGAGCTATTTTTGGACAACAGCAAGGGAGCCTTGCAAGATGAAATGCACTGCTGTCTTCTATTGTAACGCACTATGATGATTCAAATCAATGAACTCTGAGCTTGACCATCTTCTCTATTAGATAACAACTACCGAAGCATGCTTATTCGAGACGGCAATTCCGCCAAGGGCAAATGCCTTGCTTGGTTTTTGTGATCTGGACGAATCAGATGAAACTCCCGTGGAGCGAGTGACGCATGTGGCTGCATGACACACTGCGAACGGGTTGGAACTGAAGGCTTCGCACAGCCGCCTTGTGAAACTTCACATCCCGCAGCTTAAGGCAGAGGACTGGCAATCCTACGTGGAAGCTCCTCCTGCACGCAAAACTTGGCGTGGCTTTTGCATCAAATATTTTGCTTACCCGCTTAAGGTCATCCAGTGGAAGACTGAGTAGGTCGGCAGGTGGGCAGGTTGGCGCTTGAAAAAGGACTTGCTTGTGCACCACCACCTGCTTCAAGTCTCATGTCGGTCGTTATGTTGGTCTTGCAGGGCAACATCGAAGGGGTGGACATGTACAACGCTTGCTACGGTGGACAGGCTGGGCGGACCGAGGGGTGGATAGGCTTAGGGAAAGGGAAGCCCATTCTTTCTTGCCAGATGTGAACATTGAACACATCGAAATGGCGTTATCCGATTTCCCCACAATTCCTTCCGTCCCTGTGGTTGACCCTTGGACATGTTGGGAACAGCAGATCAGACATGGACTTGCGCATGCAGCTGCATCAGGTTTGGCACACCCGCTGAAGAAGGTGATGCGACAAACACACGTTAGATTCTCTCAAGATTCGGTTATGGTGTCTTGTGGGACTTTGCTAAACCTCCTCACCAAGGTGAGAGGACGTGTCACATGGATCACCACGCATTGATGTACATACTGAAAAGGTTTGGGATGCTACTAGGAACCATCAAGGCTCCGAATTAATTACAGGTTGTAACATGTTGTAACTACTGCCCATCCATGGCCACTTTGCCCCTTGACCTTTACTTTGCCCGTCAACAAGTAAGCCCGGCTGCTTTTGCCAGGCGGCAGGCTTGTGCGCACAGAACTGGGTTACTCGGTGGAACATGGGTGGGTTGTTTTAGCACCTGTTTTTTGGAGCGGAAACAACATGCAAGTTATGGTTCAATTGGGAAGACCCAGAAACAAATATGGCCAACAATTGATAAGTTTTATGTTGTTTTCACCAACACATGAGCGACGCATTTGTTTACTGCTAGACTCAAATGCATGGTTTTGTTTAGACTGTTTTAGGAAGTCATGTCATAGTATCTCGTTCAGACTTTTTTAGTGTCATCAACAAAATATCTCATTTCTGTGGGGGCCTTATTTGGTTCACCAGCGAATCCTGATGTTGGACAGAAACATAGGGCATGCTGTAGATGTGGTAAAGCTCACATGCATGTCACTGGGTGTGGAACCCACGTTTCGGAGAGTCAGCCACCTTGGCCCCGGTGAAAAAGACCCGTGTTTTCCGAGGTCGAATCGGACCGTTGGGATGGCCGCTATGCCATCGCCATTGCTCGGGGGCCTCAGATCTGTGGCGCTTGGCAGCCGGAGCCCGACCAGGGTAGGTTGACCTCCCAGGTGGTCTGTTCGGTTCATTCTTGGTGCCCTAAGTATCCGGGCCCGAACCAACAGATAGGGTTTGGTTCGGGCCCGGACCCCTGCTAAGAGGGTCGGACCCCTGCCATGGAGAGCCCAAGTAGTCGATTCTCTTCTCTCCAGATGGGTTTCTTGGGGTGGAGAGAAAGATAGCAAATGATGGCAACATAGCTCAGTCTATCCAGCCAGGGCCAGCTTGGTGGGAAAAAATGCAGGGTGTTCCAGTGCCATGACCCCCACAGCCAGGCGCAACCGAGACGGGCCTGACCCACCCAACGCCTCTTGCGTCGTTCGGACCAGAAAAACGCCATAGCAAAAACACCAAAACAACTAAAAACACACAACAACATGTTTTTTTGGTTTTGAGTGGCCTTTTGAGCCGTCTCCACAAGTTGGATTCCATGGTCCTGGTTCTTCGAAGAGACCTCTAGGAAGACTCTTGGTTTCAGGCCCCGTTGCTGGGGCCTGTTGAAGGTCACTTTAGGGGCTCCAAAAAAGGTCACTTTGAAACAATAACTTTTTGCTCGCTCTACATTGCCTCTAGTCCCATCTTGGGCTGTCAGACGTTAAACATGCTCGAGATCTATTGTAGCTTCCCATGAACTTGGGTTGTGTCTCAAACTGGATCTCACTGTACCCCCCATGATCACCCATGTCCTTGCTCAATCACATCCAAGTTCTCAAACCCTACAGAATCCTACAGATAGATGGATCACAGCTTTGGGGCGACTCACTCGATGCTGGCAACCCAATAGCTGAATCACCCCAGGCACTGTGGTCACCAGCAATGGTCACCCAAGGTCACCCATATCCATTTTTGAGAAAGCAGCGGATTGAGCAGCCTTCAAAACCAGGTCAGGAACGATGTCGCATGGATCTGACGATCTTTCTTGTTCTACCCGACCGGTTGTAGCTTTGTAGCTTCAAGTCTGCACCGGATTAAACACAAAATAGCTCAACACGACCTATACCAGGACCCTCCGACAGGCTATTTGGAGACCCTAAGAGGTGGTTTCTGGACACCTGTTGTCCCCAGGAAACACCCTGTTGGAGGGTGTTGGTATTGACTGGGATTAGAGGCTCAACCATGCGAAAACCACCCGCGGCGCCCCCGGCACTTCGTCCTCTCGTCGGTCACCGACCGACACATCGACCGACACGTCGAGCTTCTTCTCGCTCCGAGGCCACGGACATTTCGGACGCTCCCTTCGAGGTGATCTTCTCCGTAGGCGATCGGCACCGCGGGCGATCGGACCAGGGCGATCGAAGGTCCGTGGTTGCGGTCCGTGCTTGCGGTCCGTGGCGGAGTTGGTGATGTGTTTCTCTCTCCCTGGACCCGTGGGGTCCCCTCCGAAAGGGTGACATGACCCATACTTGCGTACTGGTACCCATTGTCCGAGGTGCTTTTAGACTCCAAGTGGTTTAATCTTGCTAGCTGCTAGTCCTGGATTCTTACCAAGCCAGTCGAGTACAAGCCAGTGGCTGATATTCAAGGAGTTCCATTGCCGTTTCGCCGGCTTCTCCCCAGCCCGAGCCCAGGCGCCGCGTGTACCGCCGCATTGTACTACCCAGTGGGGGCGCCCGGTAGCGGACCGGCTGATCACCGGTCGACCGGGTGAAAGTGTTCTGAAGGAACGCATTTCAATGAAAAGAGAACTTATCCTTTTCACAGTAAATCCAGCGAATGTCCGTTTTCCTTGAGATGATTTAAACAAACACACATGCAGCAGGGTTTCATTATGTTTCATATGTTTCATTGTTAGTTGTTGGGGTATTTTGTGGATAAGAACGGCCCCATTGAGTCTATATGAAGTATGATTCATATTTCCCAACAGCGTAGCTGGGTTATCCCATTTGATAAACATTATTGTGCAAGTCAATTACGACTCATTCTGAATGAGCAAATGAATGAGACAGAATAAAGATCGAACAGGAGGATTATGTGTAACACCTAATTCTTGTTTACTGAATGAGCCTCAGCTCAATTATATAGTTTGGCATTCAGCCTGTTTCGGTGGCCTTCAGCCTGTGTGGGGATGATCTTCCGACCACCATGCATCCACCAGAATTGGCATGTGGTGGTAAACGAAACGCACTCCACCGAATACTTAATGCATGTTTCTGGAATTGAATCTTTGAGAAAAAGCAGAAAGAGAGAGAGATTTCCGGCATCACCCGTGGGGTTTGAACGAGCACTCCCGCTGTGCGAAGAGTCACGCCTGTTCCCACTCGCACCTTCTCAGATACGCACGCAGCACCGAGCTTGAGACATCATGAGAAGCACGCAGAAGCACTCCAGCTTGGTCAAGAGACTCAAAGATTTCAAAAGTTCCACGTCCTGTCAAGCGTTCCACAAGTATACGACAAGATATGCAACATATTGCTTGGCTGCAGATATGCTGTTACAAGCATTCTGAACAACATATGGCTTCAATTTCACCCCTGTACTTCTACCACTCTCACGATTTATGTATATCCATCAACCATTTCAAGTCTACTTCCCCATACCGCCGTACCGCCCATCCCACGTGCCCGCCATGCGCATGACACCCCGCGTGACCCTGCGCGCGCTCGCGACCGCGAGCCTGCTTTGGTCCGTGTTCTTCGCGTCGCGGACGGCGGCGACGGCAGCGGCTGCCGCTCCGGCCTGGTGGCGCGCGAGCCACTTGCGCGTCGACGTGGAGTCCAAGAGCGAGCTGGAGCAGCCGAGCGGCGCGAGCGAGGGCAAGTGAGTGGAGTGGTACTCCGGACTGGAAGAAACGTGACCATCCCCAGACCAGACAAATGGAACTGGAAGAGTTACTGACATTTCCCTACAAGTGACCTCAAATACGTGACCTTTCCCAAATAAGTGACTTCTCCCTACAAGTCCAAAGACCTAGTAAAACCTGGTCCTTTGCCTCCTTGAGTAGTATTTTGATGACCAACTCCAGTAAAAGGAGGTCTTTGACCTGTAGGGTTTTGCGGGCCATCCATGCGACTGGAATAGATTCCTACATTGATCCCTGAAGTAACATGAAGTAACTGAAGAAACCCAGGGCTTGGTGGGTCATGGTTTGGGCGCCACCGCTTTTTGCTGTCGTGGGTTCTATCGTGGATGTTCGTTGGGTTACTAATCAAGAGTCTACAGCCTACATAAGCGTGCTTCCTGAGTTTCATGGACCATTTGCGCTATAAACTGTCCATCCTAGGACCGACATGGGACATGGGTATGTTTCTGTCTCTGGAGAACACGACCACGCCTGTCGCATCGCTTGTGTCGTTGGCACATGAGGAGCTCTTGGCACAGCTAGCGGTGCTGTTAATGCCAGACGAGCCCATCGAGGAGAGCGAGCTGCTGGTGGTTTCGCTCAACTATCAGTTTTTGGAATTCAGTGCTGACGGTTGAAACTTGCAGCCCAGGATGTTCTCCTCCCATGGCTTTTAGAATCTTTTACTACATGCCCTCCCTACTTCTGTTGATTTGGCCTAGGAGTTCAGTGACTGGATGCCTATAGACTCGAGATCACGAGCAGATGCTTAACAGGTTGACCCGTGTGATCTCCTTCGAGCCACTGCCGCAAACTTCAATAAGGGTGGCGGCACTGCAGGAGCTCTTCCGACGCTTTCCAACTCCTGAGGGCAGCACATGGGGACACGAGGCGGGCCGCAGGCTTTGGATGGCTTTGGCGTACATGCGCGGCCGTGTTGTGTGGGTAAGGGAGGTCCCTAAAGATTGCCAGAATAGTGGCAAAGTCAAAGTCAATTCAATTTGGAGACATTCCAGAAGTTGAAAGTTGTGTGTGCTCAGTGCTCCTTTGATAAAAAGCTTCTAACCATGAAGGTCATGAAGCCGATGAAGCTTTGCCTTGCCCATTTTCCACATGGTGAGTTGATACGTTGGCTTGCAGGGTGATTGAAACCTAAGGTTGTATATATAGTTGTTGTTGTTTGAGCTTCTTAGCTTCTGCGTACAAGCTCAGGTCGTGTTGGATTCGGACTATTTCAGACATGGCAACACTGGCAACACCTCTTCCACCCAACCATGGAAGGTCGACATCCCGAACAGCTCGAGGAATCAGTTCATCTGACCCGCAGTCAACCCGGGTGCCATGACCCAGCTATTCACACGCACGGTCACGAACAACTGACTGCCAGTGTGCAGGACATCATCATTCGGAGCGCCTGTTTTTTCAGTTTTTTTCGCGGACCATCCTCAGGAGGTAGAGCTCTTCATCCTTTTTAGAGCCTTTCTCTTAGAGACCCAGCCCACAACAATGGGGTCCGGAAGACCATTTGTCCTGGAAGCTGCAAATTTAATGAGTTTGTTCCATTTCCATGTTGTTTTTAGGATTTTGTCCCTTGTAGTCAAGGGGATGAGCTACTAGTTACTAGTAACTAGTATAGGATGTGCATGGACATGTGTGGACCGTCAAAAGCACAATTTTTTTTTGTTTTTTGTACCACTTTCCTCAGGAGTTGCTACCGGACTTGGCTGCCTATGGCGTGCTCAAGGCAATCTAACTCCTGGGATGGAATTGAGCGGCAGGTCTGGAGAGTTTTACGAGCTTGTGAGATGGTGTACTAAGTGGTCTATATACAATTACTTTTTTCAGACCTAAAAGAAACCGCACCATCAACAGAAATATCGTTTATAGCAGGTCTGAGTGCTGAGGCGGGCTTGTCCTCAATGCATTTTCCCTCGCTTCCCGTCAAAGGGCAGTTCACCCTCACCTTCGTCACCCAAGACTCGCAGAGTGGTTTCTAGAACCACTGGTGACCGTAAGTGGATCAACCTGGTGACCTGCAGATCAGGCGATGGTCGAACAATTCCAGTCTCCTGGGTCAATCCTCGAACCTGGAAAAGTGGTTTGATGATGTTTCATGGATTTGGGTTGGGCAAACCCTGGTTGCGCCGCAAATCCAAGTCAAAGTGCACAAAAGGGAATCCCTATGGATCCACTGGCACCCTCCTATCGGTACGGTGAGGAAGGAGACTATGTAGGCGCCAGGAGGGTCCATTCAGCTTCTCAGAGGGTTTGTGGATCCCTAGTAGGGAATGATTTTTTCCATTTATTTCCCATCTCAGCCGGTGGAAGGGCTGGATGGGAACGGCACAACACCACGGCCACCTGAGAGACCCCGTGAGCTGATGTTTGTCCTTCTAATGATCGGGCGAAATATATAGAAGGATCAAAACATGTCCAAACTGTTTTAGACAAAATCATCGATCAAATGGAGTGGATCCAGCAGAAGAACAGAAAGACCCCATGTGAGAATGGTATTTCGTCGTGGTGGATAAGGGGCACCGATCATCCTCCATCCTCTATCTCTATCCAGTCCTTTGAAAAATCTTTTGGAACCACTGTTTGGAACGTCCTTGGCTTCAGCCACTTGAGCACGCGAGGAACACACCGGACGACTGATTCTCGAGTGGTGGGCGACTAGACCCATCCTGCACCAGGCGTCACTTAAAATGGCGAGATCAACTGCCATTTGACAAGGTACCATTTATGGCCATGGCAGTTGATGCGGACTATGTTCTATTTTGTCCATCAACTGCAGATCAGATGGTATCTTCATGTATCTTCCAGATATCGGCAGATTCTTGCCGCTCCGATATCCACGGGAGGACAGAGATGCCGCCCTCTTCGTGGAGTATGATGGACATCCTCATCATGAGTCCCTGGGCGCGACGGCGGGAACAAACGATGTCCATTTTCATGACTAACTGACTAACTGCATGCCTCCAGATGTTGTATCCAGATGCATGCAGGCATGCAGTCCATTTGGACCAGAAAAGATCGGAAGACGTACTTGACCAGCCGCACCCACTGCAAGCTTGTGACTCCCACTACAATCTATAGCTATAGAGTAACTCCACCAGCACCCTGCCAATCCACTGGGGAAGATCTCTAAAGTACGACTTTTGCCGAGAAGATGAAGAACCTTCAGGAGCTCCTAGTATAGCTTCTTGTTCCTAGTAGTACGGCCAGGAGCCCCTAGTAGCGTCCTTGCTCCTTGTAGCAACACCTGCAGTGCTCTCCTGGTTTGGTTAGAGTTTGGGGAACACTTCGGAGCGTCAGAGCGTGGTTTCCTCTGGCGTGGTTGCTCCAGTCCGACCTTGTTGGGAGAGAAGCCCCCTAGCCACCCCCCAAACAAAGCGAAAGCCAAAGCAGAGGTCAGGACAGAGCCATAGCCACGCCGAGCCACGCCTAGCGACTGCCCATTCAACGCCATGCCGCGGGTATGCAGGAGTTGAACAAAAACCATTCTGGAGCAACTATTCTCATTCCCGAGTGCTTTTGTCACCCGACTTCCCCAAAGATTGATCATTTCAATTCTTCAGGGGTACCAGGTATGAGATACCACTCATAAGGTCCACGACCCCTGAATAATCTGCAAAGGGAGGGAGTAGGAGCAGTAGCAGTAGCAGTAGCAGCAACAGCAGGAGTAGGAGTAGGAGTAGTAGTAGTAGTAGAAGTAGTAGTAGTAGTAGTCGTAGTGGTAGTAGTAGTGGTAGTGGTAGTAGTTGGTAGTAGTTAGCGGTTAGTAGTTAGTAGTCAGTAGGCAGTAGTGAGTTGTAGGTAGGTAAGGTAAGGTAAGGTAAGGCAAGGCAAGGCAAGGGACGGTAAGGTAAGGTAAGGTAAGGTAGGGTAGGGTGGATAGGGAGGTAGGTAGGTAGGTCGGTGGGTAGGTAGGTAGGTAGGTAGGTAGGTAGTAGTAGTAGCAGCAGTAGTAATAGTATTGTCATAGTAATGACAAAATGACCTGGTTGTGTGGGCTCGGATGGACTGGGGGAGGGTTTTAGTGCACAACTGATTGAAATTCAGGTGGAATACTATTTCTAATTTTGACAATTTTCCGAGGCTTTGGGGCTCGGATTGATTGAAAAGGTCTATTAATCCTAGGTTGACATTATAGTCTGCGAAACCCAAGACTTTGGGGGTTGGATTCCCCCTAAAACGGGACAGGAATGACTTTGAAAAAAAACAAGCTTTTCAAGGCGCCAGCGCGGTGTCCGCCGCGACCTCCGCAAGAGCGCTGCCCTGCTACGTGTCGCCAGCAACTCCTCGGTGGGAGGGTTGGTGAAGCGAAGGGAAGCACAGTGACGAACATATCACATGGAAATGGATGACCATATGATGGCATTGACTGTTCTAGTTCTGGACAGTGGATGTGTTTGAAAGGCTCTTGGATAGCGAGCGATACTGTGCCCAGCCAACCACAGCATTTGCTTGGAGTATTTCTGAAGTATGTATACTATATACCTTCCTTTGTTTCTTACACCCTTAGCCTCAGCCCCTGTGGTTGATAAGGGATAAATATATAACTAAATCCCTAAAGGTCATACTGATAGCAAAAGATCTAAGGATAGGCAAGTGAAGGTTTCACACCTGTTTTTGCAGTTATTTTGCCGGGATATCCTTCTAGGAGGACTTGTCACAGTGAGCCCTTGATGTGTCATGATGTGTCACCTCGTGCGAAATCCATCAGATAGGTCAGAGATATGGTTAACTCCACCAAGTTCCATGGCGACACGCCCCGCATCAATATCCCATGACACAAATTCACTACTTACACGAAGCCGTTCACCTGGCCGTGGCTTTTGCGATCGATGCAACCAAGTTCCAACTCATAAGGCATGTGTGTTCCACTGTCCAGGGTTTTGTGCTGAAGGGTTCCCGCAGCCCTTCATCCTGTGAAACTTGACAACGCGCAGCCTGACGGGTGATTCAACACAGAATCTTCTTGTTGCAACCCGGCTTGAACTCCACACCACAGGAAACCACCCTCCGACCGCCCATCCATCATGCCACGCTGTTTCCATACCCAGCAGCTCAGAGCACTAGGCAACAAATCAAAGTTTTGGGGATTGGTTTCCCCACTAAACAGGAGAACGGGAGTCTTTGAGACCAAACGGATTTTGAAGGCGCCAGTGCGGTGCGCTACGTGTCGCCAGCAACTCCCCGTTGTGGGGAGGAATGATGAAGCAAAGGGAAGCAGGGAAGCAATGGATGAAGGGCTCTTGGATGGCGAGCAATGCTGTGCCCGGCCATCCACAGTAGTCGCTTCGAGACTTTCTGAATCCGTTTTGTTCTGACACCCGTAGCCTTAGCCTTGAGGGATAAGGGGTATACTACTAAACCCCTAAGGAACCCTAAAGATTAACCCTTTAGCAAAAGATCTAAGGACGGGCAAGTGAAGGTTTCGCGCCTCAGCATGCCTATTACTCTTCGCAGTTTACGTGCGCTCCAACGCCACAATGCTTCAATTCACCTGGCCATGTTTTTCGCAATCGACACGAGCAAACTCAACTCACAAGGCATGTGTGTCGGTGCGCTGCTCCACTGCCCAGGGTTTTGCGCTGAAGGGTTCCCGCAGCCCTTCATCCTGTGAAACTTGACATCGCGCAGCCTGACGGGTCACTCAACATGGAAGCCTCTTGCGCGTGCAAAGCGGCTTGATCTTTGCTTATTTTTCATTCGTTGGCTTAAGTGCTGGCTGCGCAGATAACCGAAGGAACTTTCTATGGAGGTCATAAATTCCGTAAATTTAGTCCAGGCCGTGCGACAAAGCAAATGCATGTGACATTAAGACATTTGGTAGATCAACTTAATGAAAAGCGAATGAACACACTGGGGGGTGGGGCTTGGGATGTTCACACGTCAAGGTGCATGATAAGCATAAAGCCAGCAAGCACAAAAGTTCCTCATCGAACAGGGGGTTGTACCCTTTCAACCACCCCAACTGATCCGACAATGTGCCAGTCCCATGGGTCGTAATGGGAGATGAAGACACCCAAAACAGAGAACTGCCATCAACGACTTGATTCCTTCCTCAGGTGGTGGTGCGTGTGGGCCATACGATGTCGAACCCGCAGACGCCTTTGAACCCGCAGGCACATGCAAAAATGGCGGTTTTGGGGGGGAACATGTGGTTGGAGAGGTTTTGGCGGCGGATTCCACAACAATGTTTTGATTGTCTGATTTTTGGGGGAGTGTTTTGAACCGTCCAACTTTAATACCACCAGGCACTTTGAACGAAGCGATAGTTGATTTCCAAATGAGGAGACCCTCAAGAAACCACTGGCAATTGGCCATAAGGAACACCAAATGGAACACCAACTTTGAAAATTGCAGCAAAATCTCTATGTGGCGGTAAATACATGAAAGGTTTGTGTCGTCAATGCACCTATTCCATCCATCATGTGTTTTTTTGTTGAGTCATGTTGAGTCGTTTCTGTGACAATCCATTTCGATGTTGTTCCGTGTGCATCATTCCGCAGGTGATCTACGTTGCAGTGCCGACGCTTGGGAAACAACTGGCGGACAATGGTTTTGTTCTCAAAAACCACATGACACTTAGAGACCAGAACGCCTTTGTTTGAATTGGCTTTACCGTGCACCCAAAGGTATAATCGCAGAATGATGATCTTACAGTCCAAACATGTGGCATTTGTGGGCGGACAATAGTGAACATGTTTGTTTCATTGTTATTTTGGGGTTTTGGGTTTTCCATACCCCTTCTTTATTGGTTATGATCAATCCTTCAATTTTGTCAATAGCGATGTTCAACTTTGTTCAATAAGCCATGATATACACGTGTTATTTTTCTGGTTTCATGGGCTTCAGGACGAAACTTCAGGTGTTGAAATTGATTGTTTTCTTCCTTGCGTTGGTCCAAGGACCTGGCAACGCGATGAGGACTGATCGAGTTGCCTGCGGGACCATGGCGATCAGTGGATGTGAGACACCTCGAAGGGCGGTGGATCGTTGGGGCAGAGACTCCTACCAGCGGCTCTCATAGCTACTGGCACCTTAAGACTCCACAAGCTCCTTTTCTTCCAAGTCCAACCAGAATCAACACATGCACAGATTTTTCTGCCCTTTCGAGAACACACAGTGCCAAGGAACGGCGCGCCAGGATCCGAGCCTCACGCAGGTGCTGAGTGTCCTGTGTCGCGAGCTCCACGAGCAGCTGGGACGGCGTTGGGCGCCCGCGGTGTCCTTGCGATTGCTGCAGCAGCCGGCGAACAACAGGCTGAGATTTCACCCAGACACGAACAACTCGACGGAATCCGACCTAATACGCGCATCCGACAAAGTCCAGCGCATACTAAAGTAGTCACAGGGTGGTCTTGAGAGATGGGAAACCTACATCAAACATGCTGCATTACCTGATGCGGTGCCGACCCGTCTACCGATGCCTCTTCGATGTGCCAACCACTTGAGGAAGCACGCTGTGACGCTACATTGCTTAGTTGGCACAAACACTTGGTATATATTTATAGCTCTTCTCAGTTTGAGTTGCTTACACCAGTGGAGCTGTTTTGCAGCAGAGTTGAACGAATTTGTTGTGGCCCAATGGTAACTGGATGATGGAGTTGCCTGTCAGCCTTTAGCTGCCTTTCCTTCGGGCCACGGCTCTCCGGCCGTTTCTGGCCTGGCCCGAGGCTGTGGCTCAAAGAGACTAACCGATGCCCCGACCAATGCCACCGATGCACACTTTGAGCAACAACTACTTGTGGCCATGGAAAAGCAACTCCCCCGCAACTTGTGCAACAACTACTGTACTTAATTCGTCCCATCACTTTTGGCGTGCCAAACTATGGCAAGTTTGATGCCGCCAACAAAGCTTGGAATATGTTGCATATACAATGGATTGTGGTACATTGAAATCACATTGCTCGGTCCCCTTTTGCTGAGGTGGCCTGACTTGACCAGTCGTTTGTATAATTGTTTGCATGTGTGCTCGATACGGATTTCTCGTTTTTGAGTCTGACTAGCTAACTTTGTATGTACCTATATAGTATCCGATAGTTGGACGGAACCCAATATAATTCAATGCAGTTCATCGTTTTAACACACCCGCAAATTACTGTAATTTATATAAGGTCTTTCCCTCCCAGCCTTGCCAGGCTGTGCCCCCGTGCCGCTGCCTTCGCCGAAGCCCGGCATCGCGCCAGTGAGCTCCAACGTGGTGGCGCGACGACCGCGGGCACGCAGACGGAGACCTTGGCGAAGTTGAGACTTGGATGAAAAAAGCCAAGGGAACCAGGATTGGCACCAGTTTGGAAAATATTTGTGCGGGGGAGGTCAGAGGTCAGAGGCTTCCTTGGTGGGTTGAAGTAAGCATGTGTGTATTCCAAATGTGTCAGTCAGTTCACTGGATCGAATAAGGTTGTTTTCTTACAACATCGCTTGCATATAGTTCTATCGAAATTCAAGCGTTGTGCATTTAGAAGTACTGTATCCTCTTCCAAAATATGGCGCGAACACTAAAGTTGCAGGCATGAATGGTTTGAAATGGGCCTATCTCAATAGGCTGAGGGGCTATGACGACTTGGTCGGTCGAGGGGCAGTGCAAGACACGCAGGCTTTTTTCTTGGCTGTTTACTGTTTCACTACTATAAAGATACCTGGATCTTCGAAACGGCACAAATAATTGCCTTTTCAGGAAAAAAATGCCACCTCTTCTGGTATCACCTCTTCTGGATGTTTTCCTTCACAGGGCCAAGAGCACCACCACATGTTCCACCCCCTTTCCCCGTTGCAAGGTACAAGTCTTGGAGCCGCTGACCAGAGCTCCCGCGTTCAGAGCTCCATGCACCGGGCACCACGGACGCACACAGACCCTGTGAATCCCTGTGAGTTCCGGCGTGCTTGGGACCCCTGGTTTGTCCCACCGAAGCTGAACAATATAGACTACTTTACGCAGGTCTGGGATGGTCCAGGTTCCGGGTTTGGGGAACCGACCTGCCGGTTTGGGTAGCAAACGACTGGGACACGAAGTTGGTGGCGAGCCCTCCGGTTCGGTTGAGACACGCCATCAAGTCACCCATGTCTTTTCAGTCTCTTCTGGCCGGAATCAACCGGTTGCTCCGAAAGACTGCCGTCCAACCGATTTGGAAGAAAGATGTGTGTGTGTATTCACGAAAGCTAGCCTTAGCTAGCTGGAGTTGCTCTTGCTTTAGCAAGTTAAGTGACGGGGTGGACGCACCTCAGAAACCTCAAATAATTGATTAAATCAATCTTATGGACCCCCCCCCCCCCCGCGGTTCGACTCCCCCCTGCGCGCGGTGAGCGGGACCACCAAGCAGCTGCAGCACACCAAGCATCTGCAGCGCCCAGCGCAGCACCAGCAGCAGCAGCAGACCACTCAGCGGCGGCCGCAGCAGCAGCAGCAGCAGCAGCAGCATACCCAACGCCGCGGCAGCAGCAGCCGCAGCAGACCACCCAGCGCAGCAGCAGCAGCAGGCGACCCGGCGCCTGCAGAGCACCCAGCGCAGCAGCGCCCAGCGCAGCAGCACCAGCAGCAGCAGCACCAGCAGCAGACCACCGGAAGCCCGGCTAGCTTTCGTTCACCCCCTCTGGCCTCAAGTTCAATAGGGGGACCCCAATCAAAAGGTTTGGGTCTAATTTCCCTTCTTCCACTGGGTTGAACTGGGAGGTCTCCCTATTTGATCTACACAGCCATGTGTGTGCCGTGCCGTGTGATGTTCACCTGGTGAACATCACAGCGAAAACCATTCAGATGGGTTTTGTCCTTCTTTGGGGAGAGGAGGACGGTTCCCGGTTCGAAATAAAAGCAGTGCACTCCTCTTTTTTTCGGCACTCCTAAAGTCATGGCAGATGGACCAGGCGAAGCCAAAAGGAAACTTCATTCAACAAAGCAAGTCTGAGAGACGTGGGAAGCTGCTGAGAGACGTCTCTCAGGCTCATTGGCATGAAAGTTCGCCATCTACATCAGCATAGTAGCTTGAGGATTTGGATTTCACCTGCCATGCAGGTCAGTTTCAGGAACTCCCTGCTCTGAAAAGTGCCGGTTGGGCACGAAGCGATGTGCTTCATCGACGCTCTTCGGCGATGTGTTCAGCTCCAAGCGTGGCAGTGGAGCTCCAAGTCCAGCCATCAGGACCGAACGAAGAAGGCCGGTTCTCCGCTGGGGGGAAACCGTGTGACCGATGTTTTATGGTGTCCCTAGGGATCCGGTCGTACCGAACCTCAGGTTAGGTGAGGACGGAAACACTGCTATATGTAGCTTCCGGTTCGAAGAAGGCAATTATACCGAGACCCATTGGTTGGAGGCCTCCATACTAAAAATACACACCCATGTGGAGACACTCTTCATGACTTCGCGTAGCGGATCGGAGCCCAAGGCTCCATGTTCGCCCTCCAAAATCCAGTGAACGCGAACCCCCCGTTGCACGATTGCAGGAGTGAAGTGACCACCAACACCTGGACATGAATTGCCACCAGAAGCCTTTGGAGATCGCCAGTCTGGCGAAGTCCGAGTCTGGGCGGTGTCAGTGCCTTACCCAAACCAGCTGTTTGGACGGGAAACGAAGCTTTTGCCGGAGCTTTGAGCAGCTGAGAAGTGGGACTGAGACGCGCAATCCACACACTTTATCCGTGCCAAGGAGAATCTGTGGAATTCTTCCACGAGAATCTGCCGTGCCAACCCTTCGAGCCGTTCCAGGCCACAAGGGGCTTTCGAGCAGTTGGGCCTGGCCTGCTCACCCAGAAAAGCGGCGGCAGAAGTGTCACTGGGAAGACACATTCGGGAAAAGCATAAACTGGTCTTTGAAGAAATTGATCCAAACCTTCTCAACCAATCCCAACTGAATTGTAGGCTATGAATGGGCCTATAGGACTCCTGGAAGACTTGCTTGCTCAGGAACATTGCAATCGGCTATGAACATCAATGGGCTCTGATGTCACAACGTTGGATTGTAAACATGCTCCATTGATGTACAGGCTCGCTTGGCCAATGACATACACTGACGTAGTCATATGTCGGCATGTTCACCCTCTACATCATGTTAGAGTGTACGGGTTGAGGCCACCATATTCAAAAGTCTCCTGTATGTTGTGTCTTAAGAGCTTACCCCATGTTACCCCCAAGGCTTCAACACCACAGAAGCAAACCAAACATCAACATCCGTCGACCACAGTGATCCACTATTCTGCGACAAAGATGCAAACTGTATCGACATAGTTATCCAACTGTGTGATTGATTGGTTGATTGATTGAGGCAATTTGTATTGACATAGATCTTTTTTTGATTGACTCTCCAATTTTCAGTCTTCCAAGATCAGTGTCCCTCCCTACAAACTCCGGCAACCAGGTGCAAGCAACGCGAAAATCAAGCTGAGCTTCACTCGTGCGGCTAAAAACAAACAAAAAGGAAGCGTAAAGCTTTGGTCCGAAGAGTTGTGCCAAACAAAAGGTCTGAACAAATACGGCCAGGCACCCAGTGTACAAAGTTTAACGACGATATCGAGTAGTCTTTACCAAAGACATGTTGTTGAGGGTGAAGGGTGTGCTTCTGCGAACGCTGTATTCGTCGGTGGCACTCACATGAGGGCTATGGGTTTACGGTAGAGCCGCAGAGTTTTAGGTTTACTCGGGGAAGCCATTGTAGCCAGTCGCCAAGAACCCAATCGACTTTGGGTGCAGCGGAGCCGTTCCTTGATGACTAGTGGTTTCAAGTATTGAACAATGCATCCACATATATAGAAGCTGTTATCCCAAATACACCTATACTGTTAATTGGTCAAAATTACATGCAGTATGAAACCTTTATCTAACATGGAGTGGTAACTGACTTCCACTAATTCTCCAAAGTGATAGCTAGAAGGCTTCCTGATCACCCTGCTCTAGTGGTCAATGCGGCATTCGTTCATCGCAGTTCCCCACTCCCAAGGATGCGCCGTTGCCACACCACTCCCACCGCGCTAGCTGCATTTTGCATCGGCACGGCGACCCAAATCGATCGTGTTGATGCTTTTAAGTGGGACTATAAGACTAGAACACACATTAACTATCCACCAACCACAGGGGGACACAAATCCATGAGCAGTGGTTTGGAATCCACTGACATTCTGAGCTATTTTTGATGAATTAAGCTCACAGCTGAGGCCTAACTGATAAGTCTAATCACATCTAATCACAAAGGCCCCGTGGAGTTCTCATCGCCTGGAACGCCAAAACTTGGCCCCCAACATCTTTCACTTGCAGCATTTCCAAATCCAGCAGGATCTTGTTCAGCTTGCGGGGACAATTCCCAAAGAAGATGTTTCAGAACTTATTCTAAAACCACAACGGCATTCGATGGCAGCACTTGTTCACACCCCAAACACTTGAAACACATGACGAAGCATGACGGTTCCGCCCGGCCTCGACGGTCGAGGTTTGACTTCTTTAAGCCGGTCGGCTGGTTCCACATGGGCCCTGTGGTGGATGGCAAGTTGCTCGGAGGACATGGGCTTTTTGCGGCGGAGTGTGATGGGGGAAGAGAGTATAGAAGCCTGCGGGGAAGAGAGGGACGTCATTTTACCTGGTTTTGTTTGTTTCAGAAAAGGACGTTCTTTTCTCGCTGGTGGTGAATCCCCAACCCTGGGGAATATGTATGATTACGTTTGTATGTTGCCATAGACCATAGACAGTCCGGTTCCTGGACAGGAAATTCAAGTTTCTCTTTCCAAGCACCAAGTCAATCATGGTGCCCTCTTTTCAAGAACGAGGCGAAGCGACGCCAGAAGATCCCGGCGTAGGCGTTGGACATGTACACCCACTCTATGCCACCATGGACTCTGACCAAAGCCTTATACATATATATCTAGCACGCACTCAGTGCGGATGAACCTCCTTGGGAGTGCAACAACATTCCAACAACCATTGTTTTAGTCGTTTTTTAGCAAACAACCACTGTTTTATATTGGATTTTCGACTACCTAGGTCAGGTCGATACTGGAACGAGACTCAAAGGAGTCCATTTGGCTACATGTCGCCACGTGCTTCAAAGGACAGTTTTTAAAACATACGTTGCAAGGAATGGCAGGCAAGAACACTGTTTAGTTGTTTTGCAATAAATATGCTAATCCCGAGCCCGGCTATTTAAGTCATGAATGAAGCCCCCCACTGGATGGCCACTCGCCACCGTTGCGACTGCTGAACATGTGAGGGCGAAGAATCTGTGTGGACAGTGGCCTTGTTTGAAATTGAGAGAGCTCAATCATGTAGACTCATGAAACCTCCCCATGTGAAGATAATCTTTTGATCCAAATGGGGGGCTCAAGAGTCTACTTGAGGTTTGGTCACATCATGTAAGTTCCCCGTCCCTGCTCCCGACAGTCCAGCCCCGCATGGCCTTTGCTGCGGGGCTTTAGGTACAGCATCGATGCCTACATGAACTGTGTGGATGCTTGCTACCAGACCCTCAAGCACAAGATGAATGGCAGGCACCACTCAGCTTGCTCCCAGCAGGCCCCAGCTTCGTAGCCCAAAGAGGTTCCTGTCAAGGAGTGTCCCAACCATCGGCAACTCACAAATATGCTCCCCTTTTTTGCTCTCTCTATGATACCACTCTTAAAAAATAGACATGGGCCCCTTGCTTGAGAAGAAATGCCATTGCAGAGAATTGTTTGGGCGCGTTTGGGCCCGTTGGGGCGATGCGTGTTTTGCTGGCTGGCTGAAGGATCTGACTGAGTGGATCATCCGATCGATTCGATCGATCTGACTGAGTGGATGGCACAAGTGACGACCCCTTTGGTGGTTCGGGCGTGGACCCAATCTG